GTGGTTGAAACAGTTTATTGCGGATTTAAAGGTTGTGGACTCCATACACAAGCCTTTGATAAATTTCTGTGATAATGAAGCTGTCACAAAATATGTGAAAAATGAAAAATTGACCAAGCGTAACCTTTACGTGTACGAGAAGGTTAAACAAGGTATTATTGAGGTTCCCCATATAGATACAGCAAGGATGATTGTAGATCCTCTCACTAAAGGTTTTCAGCCAAAAATATTTAAAGAGCACGTGATTCGGATGGGTATTCAAGAGTCATTGTGTTATGATGTCTGATTTCTCTATTATATCATGTTACATTGCAGTTGTTTTTTTTTCCAGTTTATTTACACCTTATGGTGATAGTTGTTTGCATGAAAATAAAGTTATGATGCATCATCATCAATATTATTATTACATTGTTGTATATGATATGTGCACGTATTATTCTTGTTGCCTGAGAGTGGTATTGCACTCATGAAGTTGTTTGGGCTATATGTGAAATTGGCACCATATTGGTAGATCCAAATATAACTACTAAAGTTTGCCTGTGGGAGTGTTAACGCTCTATGAGGATAGCTTGGGCTAGATATGAGATTGGCTCCATATCGATAAACCCTCACACTGAACAGAAGGTTGGCGGTTTGCTGTAATATGTTCAGATGACATACCGCGATGGTATGAAGCAGGAAGGATAGTGAGGTGTGCGTTTAGACCACATGCAGTTTGCCTATCTCATGAAATATAGTAAAACCACTATATTTGCTTGAATCCTAGATGGAATCGGTTTTGAGACCATGGAACTGTTTAGACTAATATATTACTTGTCTACGCATTCATGATCCACTATTGAGGAAATTTATGGAGGAGAGTGTTCTAAAGTTTCAATCCATCAATTTCGATAATTGTGTTTTCTAAATAAAAATGAGTGACCACTCGACTTTTATAAAGTGTGTTGCAATCCATAGTGTCATTTTATAAAACTTAGAGTGCATGGACCAAGTGGGAGATTGTTGGAATTTATATATATATAAATAATGAAAATTATTTTATGGTCCTATGCACTACGTTTTCTAAAATAGGATTGCAATGTGATTATTGATACTTGATGGATTGGGTTTGTACTTTCCAATTTGGTGGTCTAATTGGGAGTATGGTTTTATACCGTTGGATTGTGGTTTTCTAACTTATTTGGTGTGATTTATTTTTAACCATTGATATCTAAATTTCCATGATAGGAAGGGAAACTTAGGTATGCTTGTTTGTAGAGAAGCCATCCCCCTCTGTTGTTGTTATATATAAGGGTTTTAAAACTCTTATTCAGTCCTATCGTATCGACAACTTTCAAAAGGGGGTGAAGCGCTCTATTTTTCAAATCTCTCAAAGGGCGATAAAGAATTTTCAAAAGGTATCTCAAGTTTAATTTTTTAAGCAGGTATGAGATCAAACCCTCTCTTTAATTGATGATCAATTTTGATTTCTACTTGTTGTTTGTTAATTAAACCCAACATTCTAGTCTTAGCACTAACTAATCCTTATCATTTACCTTTCCCAAAAAAAAAAAAAAACACAAAGAAAAGAAAAAGATGAACTTTACTGAGGCTGAGAATGGACCAACTATTAAACCTGATTATATGAATGATTTTGTTCTAATGAATGTTGATGCCCTTGTGCTGTTTGAAATTGTTTTCTGTTGCTCAATCAATTATGATTAGTTCATTATTTTATGTGATGCCTTTGGCCTATTCAAAGAGTGGTGGGGAAGTACTTCTGCAAAAGGACAATGAAAGTCTTTTCTAGTATGACTTAGAGCACCTCTTATGCAAAATGATATTTCTCCATAATAAAGTTATATTTTGAGACGAGTTACACTATCAAAATGCTATATTTTAGTAATTAATGGTACATTTTATCCAAAATATTATTTTTTGACATAACGTACTTTTCATCTTACTTTTCTTATTTTAATCAGTTTTTTTGACTTTTCAGCACGTTGTACAAAAATCTAAAAAAATGTTCAACATCTCAACTTATAGTAAATTGCTATATATGATAATAGTTTTGAAAACCTTATATTTTAAGACGCTGTATAGCACCAAGGGCAGAGTCAGGAATTCATTTTAGGATTAAAGTGGATAAATTATATTTTTTTTTTTCACGCGAATAGTGAAAAATAGAACTATAATAATGTTGGAATAATAACATTTAATAATTTGAAAATCAATTGCTTTAAAATAAATAGAAACATAAAATACCGACCTTAAGAGTCCTTTTAGCAACAAATTTAATTGCCAAACTTTAAAGAGAAAAAAAAAAGAGTCTGAATAAAGGAGGAGGAGGAGGTGAAAGGAAAAATTAAAGTTATTTTTTAAAAATAATTATTTTAGTGGGCTTTTTTTGTAAAATTTTATAAATTATAGGCCTATTTGCAATAAAAATTAATTGGACCAAGAGTAAATAATTATTTCAGGGGGCATTTTTCACTTTTTTATAAATTATCGGCCTATGTGTAATAAAAATTAATGGCCATTTTCTATAAAAAAATTATTTTTGGGGGGGTGGGGATTTTGAGAACTTTTATAAATCATAAGCCAATTTGTAATTAATGGGATAGCATGGGCCCGGGGGCATGCGCCCCCCCCCCCCCCCCCTCGGCGCCCGAGGCCCATGTTGGCTCTGCCACTGGCACATCATAGTGTATAAAAAAAACAAAGTCTTCTATGTTTTGAGTTTGAGAAGACATTTGAGAGGGTTGGATGCGCTCTTAAAAAGGGAAAAAGTAACAAACATTCGAACTCATGGTTTAGAGGATTTTGTAGAAGCTTATATTCGTGTTGAAAGCCTTGTTCAGCTACATGGTGATGGTGGAAGGGATGGTAAGAAGCAGCAAACACGAAAGAAGATGATGAAGCAAAGCAATAGAAAGGAAGAGATGGTAAGAAGCAGCAAGCGCGAAAGAAGACGACGAAGCAAAACAATAGAAAGAAAAAGTAAGTCATTGTGTTCTTATTGTTATGCCTAATTTCTTTATAATTATTTATAGACATTTTGATTCTTCAAATGAATTGGCCTATATATATCTTGAGATAAGAGTTGATCTCTTTAATATTGTCTACAACACTGTTGTGTTTTATGAAGTTACATTGCAATTGCTAAGGCCACTATTAAGTTCTCACCTTCTAGCCGTATACACGGACTCTCGTGTGAGTCCTCGTCCTTGTTCATTTGATCGACTTTCCTTTTATGCCACACACTTGACGTGAGTTGTGACCGTGAGTTTATGAATGAGAGCACTATCATTATAGACTTCTCTTTACCATTATTAGGTGACAAATTGTAATTCACATGTAGTGGACTTATTGTATACATGGAATAATTATTATTATATTATAAGGTTTGGGGATGGAAGGAGGAAAGAAGATTAAAGATTTTGTCTTATAATATGCGACATGCTCTTTCTGTTGAAACAATTTTCTTGTAGTTAAAAGATATATGATCTTGATTACTGAAAGTTCTCGTTACTTCGGTTTTGGGGAAGTTGTCACCTTCAATGCTGGCATGTTTGAATCCTATTTTGCTCCTTAAAATTGGCTTAATGTTTTATGAGATTAATTTTGATTGATGACTGAGAATTTGAATGAGGTGTAAAACAGTGTTAGGAGACAAATAACACGTAATTGCTTTTGTTAGTATGCATTCGAGTTAGTCATTACTTTGTGCTTCATAAATTTGTTTTTTGCTGGGTTTTATGGTAAGGGAATGGAAATGGCCTTTGTGGATTGTTGAACACTCGTTGCAATTTTATTGGGTCACATTAGACGGTTGGATGAAGTTCATCCAACTTGAATTGGACTCAAGTATTGCTCTAAAAATTCATTCCGCTGCAAAATGGATGGAATGAAAATTCATTACAAGGAATAAAATTCTTGGCCATCACCAACACAACCACCACCACCACCACTATCGCCTTTTGCCACTGCCGCCGCCACCATCGCCTTCCGCCGCTACTCTCCGTCGCCACCATCTTTTGTCACCGCCGCTACCCTCCGTCGCCACCACCACCACCATCTCCTTCCACCACCACCACCACTTAGAATTGTGATTATCAATTCATTCCAACATCATTTTATATTTGCAACTAAATTAGAGAATGAGAATCACCGTTCCATTCCCATTCTCATTTCATTCTATGTCGGTTGATATGAGTTATATATATATATATATAAGGGTTATTATCAGAGAATGTATGGGGTGACTTTACCTTCAAAGGTTTTTTTCCCCTTCCTCTTCTATTCTTAGTAGTTGCTCTAATAAAATAATTTTCAAGGTATCGTTTGACGGAGTTAGGTCTTGATGGAGCTATGTTTTAATGGAGGTAATTTTATAAAAGGGGGTTTCAATTGATACTACAAGACACTGAAGAAACTAAAAAGGATAAGAAGCAAGCAGTGGAGAGTTGTCAGAAGAGAGAAGAATGTGGAGGTAATGGTTGAAAAAGAATGTGCGCGGAGCGATTCTAGAGCAAGATTGATGTGTGGCCATAATAGCGCACTCTTCACTCAAATACCATTTATGACTTAATTTTGTCGCTCTTACACTCTTACTCTTGAATTCGCTCTCGCTACTCAAATACCATTTATGACTTAATTTTGTCGCTCTCACGCTCCCCCTCTTGATTTCGTTTTCGCTCCCACTTTATGTAACTTAATTATAACATAACAGATTATTTTTAACTGAAAAAATAATAATAAATAAATAAATAAAATTAAAAAAAAAAAAAGAAAAAGAAAAAGATATTGTGCTTGTGCAGTCATTCGCTCCTTGGCCCTTGCAATGCTCACAAGCTCGACAAGCATATTCAATGCTCATTCAAGTAAACATTTTAGTGGTATTTCATTTAACTCACAGTGAACGTAAAGCTCAAATCCCCGTAGAAGCAAATGAGTATGTTTCAGGCCCATAGCATTCAAATTTGAGTGACTAATTTCAACTAGTTTTAAACACAACAAACTTTTAATCAAAATTTGACATTTTAATATCTCTCGGGTTATATGATACATCAAGTAAACAACTTAAAAGGGTAAGAGTTACATTCAATAGTTCAACTGATGTGATCTAGGACAAAGCCAGTACTATATATATGTGGTAACACAACCTGTGAAAGAGCCAAATGAAGAAGCTTCAACGCCGCCGCATGCTTTTAAAAAGCATTCTTTCATCTTCTCGTAGATTTTTGTGCTGTAGAACTGGAAGAGTCGATTTCCTTGCGGGATGCTTCCCAGAGTTGTTGCTCAATACCCAATTTCCTCAGCTCCACCAGACCTTGCTCCACTAACACGTGAAACACGAAAAAAAATGAGCAAATAATGGATTAAAATACAAACAGAAAAAGCGGATATACAGAACCATAACATGCAACTCTGAATTGAGCTGCTAATGCTAGGATACTCGGTGCATGACTACGAGTCTACAATACTCGAAGCCTGTCATAATTCGGGCTTCCACAATTAAAATGGACAAGTATATGTTATAGAAACACTTTCCAGTGCTAGTTTCTTAAAAGCATTTCTATTTTATACACAAATTCAAATAGAATTGAAGGGAAATGAATGTGTAACCTAGAACAAAATTGGATTTGGATTCCTAGTTCTACAAATTTTTTATGGGCTACAACTGCACCTATTAAAGCAACTAAAAGAATTATAGAAATGAGTTCAAATGGAAGAAAAAAATGTGTCTATCAAGGCTTTATTATTTCATAACCTAGACTGGCTATAATCCCATATTTATAGCCAATTCGGTAGCCTATACTCTTTGGTATGTTGAATCCTGTTAAGCCAAATTTCTCTTTCAACAACACACCGGCGGCGGGCAAAATTTTTTTCTTTCAACGACACCTTAGGGGAAAGCCAAATTTCTCTTTCAGCAATACCTTGGCGATAAATGAATCCCAAATTTATTATTTTTTTCATGAATGAGCTTGTTTCCATTAAAAAAACAAGTGCTTAGTACAATGGATAAAAAGGGGGAATATACATCATAGCACCATAGCAAACTGAAAAAGCCACTTCCAATACACTTGAAAGCAAGTAACAGAAAGAAAAATAGCACGCCTAAGACTGATTGCACAAATCAGTAACAAAAAAAATGAATCCCAATTTGCTAAACTATTTTCTTTCAAAAGTACAGAGTAGGCACAATTGTCCCTCTTTATATATAGAGGGTATTCATATAAACTTTTAGATATCATATGCAGTTTCACATTATGACTGGGTTTGACACAAGGAAACAGCCTCTTCGCATGCGAAGGTAAGACCGTACATCTAACCCTCCCCAGACCCCGCAATGGCAGGAGCCTTGTGTACTGGGTTTGCCCTTTTTATGCAGTTTCACATAAGATTCACCTATGTATAAGTTTACCTTTTTATTAGTTTAGTTACGACTGATGAATATATGCTCAAAGATATCTAAGGGTAAAAAAAAAAAATTATTTCTGTTGTAGTTTCATTCAATATCAAATATCAACTTACCAAATGGTATTCCTGAAATAAGGATTGGTATCTCTACGTTAATCATGAGGACTATAATAAGCAAAAATTACCATCCACAGCATCATGCGAAGTTGGTGACTGTCGGCTACGGCTAATCCAAAATTGAAGTCGTTTTTTGGCAATCTCCTCTTCTATACCATGGGCTTTGGCTCTTCCCCAAAAATATGTAAGCCATGCCTGTTAAAGTTATGTGATGTAAATAAAAATCAAATCATTAGCATATGAACAGGTCACTTTAAGATTAAAAAAACCAGTTATAAAGAACCACTTCCGAGTACTGCAAATGGATGTGATTTTTAACCATCACTATAAATAAACAACATAATTCTCCTATGAAAAGAAAAGAAAAAATCCCAATGTGCGACATGTTACCTTCCCAACAAAGCACAAAGACTTTCCAGATCTTTGACAAAACTGGAAGTCAGTGGAGCACAATTGAATGAAAATCACGAATTTAGTTCATAATTTGTTTACTTAATCATTTTTCATTGGGTTTTCTACGTAATGATGTCATTAATAAAAGTCATGAAGAAGTGCACCAACCCAGTTTTTGTACAAAATTTCAGAAAAAGAAAATATGACTAACAGCTACCATTAGCTATAAACTAACATGATATATATATATATATATATATACATATGTATGTATGTATGTATGTATATGTATGTATGTATGTAATATTTAAGACTCACTGGTTAAGTGTCATAAATCAAGAGTGACATGGATTAACTAAGAAAGAAAAGCCAGACCTCCTTGAAAAGAACATCCTCAGACTCCTCTGCACTCAGTTCTGCAATAAACAAGGACATCGATGACTATAATGCTACAAAAATAAGAAGCTTCAAATAAGCTTCAACTTTCAGGCTGCTTAAACATAAGATGGAACACCGAAAAAAAAAAAAAAAAGAAGATGGAACAGTAACAAAAATCTGGAGTAGCTGTGTAAATAAATGCACATGTTACATAAAAATGGGTAAAGTGCAAGAAACCCCCAACTATTACTCAAGTGCAACTAACCCCCTGGAATTACAAATAACCCCCCTGAACTATTGATTTTGTTTAATTTAAGGACAATCCGACAGTTGACTTGGTCGGAAAAATCAAAAGACATATTTGCCCTTATTTAAAACTATGTAGTTTTAAGGGTTATACAACTAAAATGATGACGTGGCAGCTAACAATCTCAACAATCAATCAAAATGGGACAACTCAACAGAACTCAGCCAACTCACCCAACCTTATCAGTTATCCACAGACCTTTCTAAAAATAATAAATAAATATGAGTTGCAACTTCTGGGGAACAATGCCAATTGGAAGGCGTCGGAGTGGCTGTTCGATGTCACCGAACGTTTTTATAACGATTAAAAATTTAATATTGAATTCGACATTGTGTTTCGGTTCAGTATCAATTGTTATTCAGAATCGAAGAGATTCCAGTTTGAAGAATATTAGTAAAAGCAAAAAAGAGACCCAAACAACTCACTCTCGATTGGGTTTATATGTTGGGATAGCTGTGGGTGATTCAGTATAAATTGTTTGAGTTTCTAAGAGTAGAATGTCGTGGTTTGATTTGTTGACGTTGAGGTGGTGGCAGTGGATTTGCAGTGTTAAATTGGTTTTATCACGCATGTATGTTGGGGGTGGTGTGTGGTTGAGCATTAATTACTTGAGTTTCCAAAGACGATAGAAAACATGGTCCACCAATTCATTCACGTCATCATTAACTACAGACAAACAGTCTACAACAGTCGATGGCGTTGGGTTTCAGATGACGAATCTGTCGCAGGTGCCATCGACCGCTCTTCCGCCAGTTGTCATCATCGTTGAAGAGGAAGTGAACTCCATGAACGATGCTAAGTGCATATGCTTTTCTGGGCCGTGCCATTGTTGCAAGAAAACATTAGTTGATACCATTAGGATTCAGTCGCATTTGAATTTGGGGATTTTTATGAAATTAGTGTTGGGTGCGTTTGAGTGTTATACGATGGGCACTGTGGTCTTTTAGTTTTCATAAGGGCAGTTTGGTCATTTAAATAAAATTGGGTCATCACGCGACCAAGCATGCACAACTTCACGGTCAAATTCAATTCACCGGTCGTCGGATTGGGTAAATTGCAACCAAATGGTTAGTTCAGGGGGTTTGTTGCCACTTTTATAATTGAGGGGGGTTATTTGCTAATAGGGTAATAGTTGAAGGGGGTTTCTTGCACTTTACCCTATAAAACTAGTTGAAACTTTGCTCTAAATATTGTCAAAGGTGTTTTGATTAGCTGAAAGAAGACCTCAATGCAGTGAAAGATTGCAACCCGTACGAATAAAATTTGTCCAGAACCAATCTACAAGAAAACTTAGAGTAACCAATATATATATATATATATATATAATATCACAAAGCGGAAATGGGTCCTCTCCTTGAGTATCTCTCTCCTGGACTCCGCAGGGTTTAATCGTGGCCCAGATTCAGCCACGTCATCGTCCATGTTGAAATTTCTTTTAAAATTGAAATTGCAAGTTGTAGTCTTGTAGATTTGAACATGGAGGATGACGTGGCTAAATCTGAGTCGCGTTGAAATTTCTTTTAAAATTGAAATTGCAAGTTGTAGATTTGAACATGGAGGATGATGTGGCTAAATCTGAGCCGCAGGATGAGCACTGCAGAGTCCAGCAGAGAGATTCTCACGGAGAGGATCCTTTTCCTCACAAAACAGTGAGATGAAGCTAACAAACTGCAAACAGACAACGGATACAAAATATGATTTTTGGGGGGTATATCAACAAATCTCTTTGGGGTCACTATCAGATATACCTTTGACGACTAAAACAACATTAGATAAAACCTGTGGTTTGCAATTGCATCTCACTTTTGACTTTAGTAGTAGTCTAATGCAATTTGCGCAATTATAGATTCTAAATTAATAGTCAATACTAAAACAACAACAAAATCCTCATTCCACCTATCTGGCATCAGCCTAAAGCAAAATGCAATAAAATATCCAAATGGAACGTACCAAACGCGTCCATATACTTTGGATCTCCAGGTGATTTAATATCTGCACACAAAATAAACAGAATTACATAAGTATTCTTGTGCATATTACTGAACCTGACGATTTTCTTTCCTTTTTTTATTCATTTTATTTCATGGCGTTAATACATAAGGAATAGGATAACAATGTAAATCATTCTCTCACATCCCCCCTTACTTGTGACCGCATCTTGCACATGGAGAGGCAAACAGATGCGAAGTACAAACTTGCAGTATAGGTGAACAGCTTCTGTTAGTTAGATAGGAAGATTTGTACCCGAACCTCACACAACGAAACTCTACAATCATGTTCGAACACCACTAAACCCAAAAATTCTTCTGTTAGAAAAGATGTTAATAAAGTATTTATATCCTCTAACACCGGACTCACAGTTATGAATTGTCCAAACATGTTCATCAAATATAGTAGGGATGATGGTGAGATTAGAACTCAAGACCTTACCCACTTTGATACCATATTTATAACTAATTAATCTAAAAACTTAAGCTGAAAAGGAATGAACCCCATATTTATCCCATGCTCTCACACCCTCCCTTACATACAATCCGTCTCAGTGAGAACATATAGAATGCAATTTGAGAGAACATATAGAGTGCAAATCGAGAGAACAGATGCAAATGGAAAGACTTGAACTAAGACCTCCCAGAACCAAGTTCCTCAATATTAGAACACCAATTGTCTCAGGCCAACGATTATTTCCATGCCACAACTGCTAAATAACAAAATATGCTTAGGAAGAAAACCATTTTTGCCAATAGCTATTACCAAACCTTAAATATAATCTAGAAGACTTCAGCAACCAAACAAGAAAAATGCATAGAATAGGCAGAAGCCTTCAAGGAAATGATGGTCCAATCGGTGGCTCGGCAAACTTGAAGCATTGGACCAACAAGAATTTTCACCTGTTGTCCATCAAATACATCACGATAGTCCCACATATTATTCAACTTTTTCGGATGCGTCTCCACCAGTAATTTTCATACTCACTGCTTTTAAAAATCAATAGTACGCCAATTGGCTCATCACATACCATATCTAGTTCAGGTTACCAGGAGAGTTTTTATTGGACACAAGAACTTTTGTCCTTCAATAACTTAGATTGATGGTTTTTTCAAAGGACAATGATAGTCTTGTAAACACAGTCACTAGGACAACAAAAGGAGGCAAATGCAAAACGCTAAACCCTAGGAAATGAATGCAAACAGGTAGGGCACCAGGTCAAAAAAAGCCCACTTCATTTCAAGAGGCCACTTATTTTGATACAACCAGTTATGATAAAAGGGATGTCCAAATGAGTAAACATAAAAATCACCATTCATGCAAAAACTTGGACTTCATAATACATACATAATATTTATGACTTTTGAGTGCCCCGTATAAAAGGGAAAACAATATTCATCAAAATCATGGGAATCATTGGTAATCTCAAAGAAGGCAAAATATATTCAACAAGGAAATTTCTAAATTAAAGCAGCTAAAAAAGGGAATCAAGCCAAAAGAAGCTAAACAAAATAAACCTGAGACGGATAGTCGAAGAGCATTTGCACGTCGCTGTTGGGCCAATGCAAGCACAATTGCACCTTCAACCTGGAAAACAGACAATTATAGTGTTAAATAGAGCAACACTTTCCAAGAAATAGATACCAAATCACTGATAAAGCAACTGCAGTTAAAGAGCATGAAGATGATGAAAATTTAAGAGAATATTGCAGGGATTGCATCAGCTTGAATGATAAGACTAATGAGGATAACCATGACTCATGCGAAAGATCGAAGACAGATGTTGATGTAAATAAAACAAAGTTTGATCTTTAAATTTAAAAAGGAACCTTCAAGGAAGCAAGCTCTTTCAAGCCCATTTCAACTGAAAGCATACTCTCAATATTTCCTTCTCCAGTTAGATCGCTTATGTCCAGAACAAGTTTGTTCGTCCTCTCAGTATTGTCCTCACCTGCTCAATGTTGCAGACGTAAAGGCTTCTCAGTTTGAAAAAAAAAAAAAAAAAGAGGGACTGCAAATAATACAAAAATATTGCCTAAACCAAATGACCACGGGGGCAACAATTTCTGGATGCCGGAAACACAAATAGATATGACATAAATTTTCAAAGAGTTGTTACTAGCCTTTTTCCCAGCATTCCTCTTTAGCTTTTTGTCCGGCAGAAATGACTACTTCAAAAGGAAGAGGTGCTAAGGAGGACCAGTACTCATGCTTCGACACTGCAATATCTGCACAGATGCCTACAAAAAGCAAACAGAACATCATTATCGAACTAATCTGGTTTGAGAGGGTCAGCTGCAGAAATTGACACATTGAACCAAAACCCAAGTAAGCTTGAAAGTAACCTCAATAACTCAAACAAATCAAAACTAAACAGAACAATAAAACAATATCAAACAGAGTACATGACACAATCAAGTAAAGCAGCGAGCAGATTTATCTTAAGTCCTAGATATCATAAAGTCAGGGTAGCGGAGTGCGTGAATCTGAACAAAAATAAAAAATAAAAACTCAAAATAATTAGAATCCAAAAATTTTGTCTTTTTTTTTTTTGTTTTCTTTTTTATTTTTTTAATAGAATCTATTAAGTTCTGGATGGTGACATTGTAAACTGGGGCAATATGAAGCATGATTTGGATCTTTTGCAATTAAAATTTGGGTTGATTTAAGTGTTATAGTGTTTATTTCAGAATAGTATGTGAAAGGTCTAGTTTTCAAAAAATAAATAAATAAATAAATAACTAGGTTTTTGCGAGTTAAGGATATTTTAATAATTTCCAAATATGTTGGACAAGGGCTATATCACTACCAGATATAAATACTTTCACAACAGTCAGGTAAGTCTCCTGTGATGTTGTGGTCTGAATTTTGTTCAGCTCGGGTCACATTGCCACTCAGTTTTGACCCAAAAATGTGTCCCGTTTTCTCTTGCGGGTCGTGGACCCTATTTAGAACTCTCTTGTAGCCCAGTATACAAGGGCATTAGAGCTTGGAATGGGTATCGTGAGAACACTGGAAATCTTAGGAAAGAGTGAGAGCCAGAGCTAGAGTTTGGGGGCTGAAACTTGTAATGTCCTGTTTTTTGCATTGTGAGATTGTTAGCATATATGATAACTACGATTTATCATATGACTTACCATATTGGTAGAGATTTGATTATGCTTTAGAATATGCTGTGATTTGATTTAGATTTGATCTAGTTTCCTTTCTTGTAATATGAGCATGTGCTCTTTTTATCTATAAATACTAGAGCTGTGAATAAGTGATTTATCCCATTCAAGCCTTTACACAATTCTCTCCTTTTTCTTCTTTTTATATTTCTACTTGGTATCAGAGCCAATGCCTTTCCACACCTTTGAGCAGTCTTTCTACTTGTGCAACAGCCACCTTAGGTTGTTTGTGACATCGTGTGACGTTGCCTACACATGTTTTTCTGTGTTGCTATCTTGTGATCGAAAACAAGTATTTTTAAGTTTTACAATTTCTTTTTTACTCTTCTAGGGTTTGATTAATTGGGATAATTGGTCTCCAACACCTAAAAGGGCTTGGGTAAAAAAAAATTTAGTCTACAAAGAGGTTCCGAATATTAAGAAAGAAGTTGTCTGGCTATATGTAAGCGGACAGCGCTCCTTAAAAAAGGTATGTATTTGGATTTTTTGGAAATGGTCTGAGAAGACTTTATTATTGTTTATGGTCTAAAGAGACTCTTTGATTTATTAACAGAATTTGTGGTGTTATTGGAGTTTTTTTATTGTCGTGTGACAGATTATTGCAGATTCAAGGTCCTCGACTGTTAATTCACTTGGCTCAAGTTATATGGGTGGTAGTGCCATTTTTCCTACCAACTCATCAGAAAATCTAGGACTTCAAATCACCACAATGAAGTTGGATGGTTCCAACTATTTGATTTGGGCACAGTCTGCCAAGATGTTCATTGGTGGCAAAGGCAAGATTGGTTATATTACTGGTTCTGAAAAAGAGCCAGCTGAGTCAAAGAAGGCATGTCCACAGTGGTTTGTAGATAACGCTATGGTTATGTCTTAGCTAGTCAATTCGATGCAACCAAACATAGTTGTTGGCTATATGTGTATGAAGACTGCTAAGCAGATTTAGGATTCAGTTCAACGCACTTACTCTCAAAGGCAAAATAATGCACGGATTTTCCAGCTAGGGCGAGATATCACCAGGATTTCTTAGGTTGACTTGACAGTTTTAGGTTACATCTCGTGCTATTTAGGAGGAGATGTCATATTATGATTCCTTCCACTCTTTGATGGATCCAGATGATGCAGTTTTATATGCAGGGATTGTGGAAAAAAATCGAGTGTGTCAATTTCTTGTTGGGTTGACCGACGAGTTTGAGTATGCTTGTGTTCATTTATTGGGCTTATCTTCATTCCCTACTCTTAAGGATGCATACTCCTATATGTTGTTAGATGAGAGCCGTTGGACTCATCCATTAGGTGTTGCTTCTGTTGATCGTTCTGATATGGCAGTTCGGGTTCCTAACCTTTCAGGAACTGCACCATCCCAGTCGGTGCAGAGCTTTACCACCGGTCCTCTTCTGGGACGACAACGTGGACAGTATGACCATTGCCAAAAAATTGGTCACATCAAATCTCGTTGTTATGCTCTACATGGACACCCACCGCAACAGAAACAACAGCCTCGATCCTCTGCACATTATGTTACACAACCAGTCTCGTTGTTAACTCCTGACAACTCCTTTACATCTTCTGCCATAGTTAGCTTGACTCAAGTTCAAACAATTCTTCAACCATATGGAGGCATCATCTCAGCTAACCTCCATTTATGCCCACTCAGGTACTATTGCGTCTGCACATAGCGTATCTACATCTTCGACACCATGAATCATTGATTCTGGTGAAATCCTCTGCTACTTTCCTTGGCTTTTCTTTTTTCTCTCTTGTTATGCGGTCTTTCTTAGACGTGGCTCGTCTTCCACGACTGTTTCAGGGTGGGTTCGCAAGATCTGCTTCTACGTACAGAGGGTTTTCAATTTTCTTGGATGATGACTCGGTCGATAAGAGGAGATGATCTGAAATCATGTTTGGTGGGAAATTTCGATAAAGATGTAGGTGATTGTGCTCAGATTGTAGCTTGGGTTCACATGTTTGGAAGGTCTCGCCGGCGATAGTTGTGGCGCCCCTGCCGGATTCTTTGCTTCTTTTTCGCTTTCCTTCTAAGGCAAAGGCAGAGAGAGTGCTTAAGAAGGGACGTCGTGACTGGGGCAAGGCTTCTCTTCACTTGGATTTGTGGAATTTTAGGGTGGGATGCTATGAGGTTTTGAAAGAGAAAAGGCTGAAGAAGGTAACATTGTACGGCCTTCCTCTTCACCTGTGGAACCACGCTCTCTTCGTGACGGTTGGGGATTTGTGTGGAGGTTTCATTTGGGTTGACGCTGATGATACTATTGATGCTGAGAAGGTTCGCATCACTGTGTCGGATGGCCATGCTTGCACGTCGTTCATTTTTGTTCATGATGATCGTTTTTGCTACAAGGTAGCTGTTTGGGAGGATACACATCCTCAGCTCGTTCCAACAACTGACAGTTTGGAAGGGGGGGATGGGTCCCACTTGCTTAAGGAGAAGGAGTGGTTGAGATGGGAATCCATGGGTAAGAAAGGGATGGAGGAATTTCAGAGGTGGAAGGAGTGGAGGGATAAGCTTTGGGAACGGAACATAGCTTGCTTCAAAAGGATCTTCACTCAGCGAAGGAGGGTGAGTACTGTGTCTTCGACGGTTGGTGGCCAAAACTTTGGTCGGCGGGATTTACAGAGGGGTGGAGGTTTGGCCGTCAGGCGTTTTTGCAGGGATGGGAACCACGATCCCATCAAGGTGTGGTTCATGCGCATCCAGCGCGTGGGTGGGGGAGTAGAGGTGATCATCCACATGGTTGGCACAGGGGAGAGAGTCGTTCGAAGTGGATTCCAGCTATCTCCAATTTGAATCATTTCAAATGGATGAGGAAGGCTAAGATGGATTCGGTAGGAGATGGGCTTGGTATTGGGCAATGAATGGGGCCACGGTGGAGAAGAGTCATGGCACTTTTCCGGTTTCTGGGCCTATTTTCAATGAAGTGCATGACCATGTTTTGAGTGGGCTGGATAAAGGTAAGGTGGCCCAATCAAAGGTGTCTGTGTGCACGGAAGCTTCTTCTGCTGAGCTAGGTTGCGGATTTTTGACTGGGCGAGGCTCCGAGCCGGTTGTTTCTGGGCCGTATTGTTATGATCTTGTGGTGAACAATCGGTTTCCCCCGCTCTCTTTGGTTGATCCATCTCAGTTGCCTGGTGCGCCATCTCTCAAAGAGGGACGACGAGTTTTGTTGCCTGCACAGGGACACCGTCTGCGATCAAAGAAGCGAATCCTTCTCCCTACCATTCGTAGAAGGCGGACTCGTAAGGAGAAACAAAAATGGGTTCCTCGTGTTGCCTTTAATCCGGGAAAGAATGTTTCTTTGCATTGCTCTTCGTTGTCTTTTTCCTCTTTTGTTCCCCCATCTCTCTCTTCTGGAGAGTCGTTGAAAGGCTCGATTTCCAGAAACTTGGCCGCAGTTTTAGAGAATGAGTTGGAGAGCGGACTGAAGGTGGGTAAGGGTTCTCTAGTTGATGGGTTGGGACCCTCAAGATCTGTTGTTCAGAAAGGGGAGAGCGTCACAGTGTGTGTGGGCAGGGATGTGAAGATTTGTCTGGATGATGCTACTGCTGCTGTGTTGTTGAGTGATTTGCGGTCTCATTTAGTCTTGAAAGGCCTTCAAAGTGAGCCGAGTGATCCTGTGGCTGCAGAGGTTTGTGGAACTCCACTTGCTTGCAGCTCACCATGTTCGTCGGTTCCCGAGGAGGGAGAGGATGGGTTGTGTTCTTCTCTCCTTGAGGAATTGGGGTTGGTTCAATGGAATGGGGATGACACTGATTTTGATTTTTTTTACTCCTTTAGCTATTATTAGACCTGATGAGGAGGGGGCGGATGGGGTTGGTTTTGCTACAGGAGTGGCTGATGTGGAAGATGTTTGGTTGAGAGAAAAAGGGGTTGAGGTGGGCTCTCGGTTGGGAGTTTCTTTCGACGGTCGTATGGAGGAGGCGACAAATTTGTTTCTTGAAGTTCTTAATTCTCAGCACATGGTGAGAATGGGGTGCAGGGGGAGTAGAGGAGGTTTTCCAATGGGGGTGGATGAGAGGGGGCTTTTGAGCCCAATGACTCTTGTCACTTATGAAAGGAG